AAATTCATAGAGACAAAAAGTAGATTAGATATTACCTGGAGCCAGGGGAAGAGGGGAGTGGGGAGTTACTGTTTAATGGGTACAGTTTCTGTTTCGGGTGATGAAAAAGTTTTAGAAATAGTGGTGACAGGTGTACAATATTCTGAATGTAATTAATGCCAGTGAACTGTATACTTTTAAAAGTTTATGAAAAAGGTTATATAAAAAATATAATATAAAATGCCAAATTTTTTATTATATATGTTTTACCATGCAAAAAAGAACTTATTTTATTAAAGTTGATAGTTCTGTCTATAATTTGTAAACTTTTGATTTTGTTAGTGGAAAACGTATTTTTGTTTGTATATGTTTAAACAGCATCCTAATAAATAAGTTAATTTAAGGAAAAAATGTGGTTACCTGGTAAGTAATTTAACACCTAAACTTTAGCAACAGATATGATACTCCATTTAACGGCTTTGCACTGTCACTGAAGTCATACTGCTTAGGTAACTCAAATATCTTATAAATTTAAAATGTTGTGAATGAATTAAAGAGTGGAAGGACAAATAAAATAATACTTTATACAATTCTATCAATGTACTCTTTTTCTATTTAATCCACTTAGGAGTTTCTCCATATAAATAATTCAAATATTAGCAATGGTAAAATCAAATCATCTACTGAAGACCTATTAACCTGATGAAAACAGTAAAATGACTCAGCTCTCTGCAATTAGAGGATAATGATGCAACCTGTGTCCATCCTGATTCTTCTAAATTTATATTCTATTAAAAGTCAAATTACATTTTTGTGTTCATATCTGACTCCTGTGTGTGGTCAATTTTAATAAAAGACCATTAAAACCATCTGATTAGTCACATTTTAATTAAGCATCAAAATTCCTACATAGTGCCAGAAGTTAGGCATCTGACTTCATTTGATTTAAAGACTGATTAGTATCAATCCTTAATGACCAATATAAAAATCATTCTTCAAGCAATGAGTAAGATTCACCATTATATCTCCTGAGGAAAACACAGCTTTGGGATTAGTCTCAGAACCAGTTTAAGACACTCTATGTTTTTTTGAACATTCCTTTAATTCACTAAATAAAAATCTGCCCACAGGATATGTGAACTAAGTGAAATCTACCTAATTAAGGTCATATGACAGAGCAGAAGTTAGACAAATTATCAGTCTCCTCAGATTTCCAGTTTATCTCCCCAATAAATCACACCAAGGTTAAATAAGTAATACAAAGAGCTACCTGAAAGACTTGATATCTATAAAATGTGCTGACCTACATTTAGTGAACTATCAAGGACTGTGACCAACTTTTCCAGTAGTGGTAAAAGATTTAGGCTGATTACATGTTTAGTCCTTCTTTTGATCAATAGCATGTATTTCACAGGGCAAGGCTGTAGGCTATGTCTTCGATAAAATAAATTGGCTTACACAGAAGTGAACCTATAATCCTAGCCTTATTTATACTCTGAACTGAAAAGCCTAGCTAGGCTTTTAAAATTTTTAGTAAAATTTGAAGTATTTAAACAAGATAAAATCAAGATAACTTTTTTATTTTAAATCTGCAGTCCCTGAGAAAATATTTTATTTCAAATAAGTGAAATAGTATTATCAGATCACTCTTGGGATAGATTTTAAGGCCCTTATGGGCAAGGACCCCAATTTATTATATTTAATTGGTGTTCACTAAACCCATTTTCACTGATGGCATAAAACCTATTATATACAGTTTCTCACACCAACTTTTACTTTTATTCATTACCTCTCAAGTAACCCTATAAAATTTAGAACTTTAAGGCCCTAAAGAAAAGCAATCACTTTTTTGAAACTACCATTTTCAGCTTCTCATCTTCTCTATAACTGGCACAAAGCCACATTCTTCATAAGGTATACTGCATTTAGTTCAAATCAGCAAAAAAATTTGAGGGCATACTCTGTTTAGCATACTACAGTGCTATACAGAATTAATAAAAGTGTTTTATCCCCCCTCAAAAAATTTACGTGTGAAAAGTCAAGCCTGGTATGTAAAAATTAAGAAATAATGCAAAAGCAATATATAATCCAATGTTAAATGAGTTATATATATTAAATACCAAACTAATGAGATATTTTATAAATTTGATAATTTATAAAATTCATAAATGTCTCGGGACTTTTCAGCTTTTCTGAATTTCTGCTTATAGTTATTAGTCTTTTAAGAAAATCTACTCTGTAATATTAACAGAAATGAAAATAAAAGTAATTTCTTTCATAATGCATAGAATTTTTTTAAATTATCACAAAGAATCCAATATACTTCCTTCTAACAACTTTTTACATTAAAACTCACATTTCTATTTTCCCCTACCCATCTTCAAAGATCTTTCTGATTTGTGTCTGTCTTGTCTCAACAGAAGAAACTTTCTATTCTTTTTGTTTGGCAGAGTACATATCAGTGGTTTGGGTATATTAAAAATGTCCAGACTGTGTGAGAAAAGAGGTTTAAATGGAATCAAGATATCCCCATTTTTTTCTGATAAAAAAAACTTAAATTGTATAATCTATCCTTCGTGATGCACACAAAAATATGCAGGCACAAAAAAAATGAATGTTTTAAAATCTTCAGAACTGCCTTATAAACAACTATATAGAGTAGTTATATACAGTAGTTACCTACAACTGAAAGACTATGCTACACAGGTATGAATTTAGATTTTTTGTTGAATGCACAAAAAAACTGAATTAATTCCATGCATTGTTTCATACCATTCATTCACACAGTGCCATGTGCATACTTTTAAGAACGAAAAATGAAAAACAAGAAACTTCAAAAGTTTATTAACAAATAGATAAACTCATTGAATTATTTTCAGTAAATATGTAACATGTAAAGCTTACTTTAGCAATATGTGCATTATACTTTATACTATTTTGATTCAAAGATGAAATAACTAGGCTTATTTTTTAAAGAGGGTTTTCCTGAATTTTTGTTATAAACACTGTAAAGCAAAGTATGTTTTTTATAGGTCTTAAGTTCATGCACAATATGTTTCTGGGATCAAAGCCCAATAGAAAAACAGTACTATTCATTGGGGAACATTTAATAGCCAAAAAAAAAAAAATTGGAGATGGAGAAAATGAGGAAGGAAAGAAGAATAAACAAAACGATAATAGACAAAATGTAAAAGGTCTATGAGACACTGGAAAAATATATTCGTGACAAAAAATTAACATAGTTTGTAATATTTATATTAAAAATATATTTGATTTGCTAAAAAAATAATTTTCTAAAACGAATGTAGTCAACATTACAAGTCAAGTATATTAAATGACATGTAGAATAAAGCTGCACGTCTTATTTGGTGCATTTGAAAACTGATTAATTTTTCCCCCACTCTGAAAGCACTCTAAACTGGCCATACCTACTAAAATGTCTTATTCAGGGAAATTTACTGTAGCAATCCAAACATTCTAAGTCTACCTCAATAACTTCTTAATGTGATTGATAGTCTAAATTCCCTATCTTTAAGAAATGAACTATTTATTCTGAAAAGTTCAGGCATATATATGCCAGAAAGCAGGGCTCAATCAAATATTTTCTGTAATTTGATATAAATAAAGCTACAAAACAATGGTATCACCAAAAAAATAACCAAGTGTGAAAATATTAACTAAATGGTTGGGTCTCAAAGACACTGAATTCTGGATATCTTAAAGAATCCCAATAATACATTAAATTCCTTGAATCCTCATTTAAAGTGAGAAACCCATTTCCAAGCATATGTGCAAAGTATCTTAGCCTCTTCATGCCTGCTTGCCTATCCCACAGTCAAAGAAGGCAGGATATTTGGTTAAACATATGTTTATGAATAAAGACAGGAAAATTCCAACTTTAAAACCAAATATTTTCCTTGTTTAATTCTGGTATCTTATTGGTCCATATGCTGCCTCCTCCTCACAGTATGCTACCCTCCTCACAGTATGCTACCAAAAATCTAGATTTTGACTTTCTTTTAAAGCATAAGGCTAACATCAAGCAGACAGAATTGAGGAGTGGAAATACTGTATGAGAAAAATGACGAGCAAAACTGATGATCTAAATCCATACTGACACACTTGCTGAAGACATTAGGTGCTCCATAAATGCTTACTGAAATGCTCTTTGTGACATTTGTTATGATAAATTCATCTTTCTCTAATTTAAGAATCCTCATGAATTAACCACAACCAGTTCAGTATAATTTAATAGAAAACATCTGGTGGCACTTTTAAATGCTTAAGAATTGCATTTCACAAACTATGCCTGCCTCCAGACCACTGCAGGAGAAAATGAGGCGAACACAGAGAAAGAGAGATGACTATAAGAGAGCCCTGATATCATCTGATTATATGGACTGGTCTTGACCAACACCAGCCCTGTTCCTAGATTTTCTATAGGGGACCCAGACATTCCTTTTTCCTTTTTGGCTTAAGCTAGCTGGATTTTGGTTTCTATAATTTGCAACCAAGAAAATACTAGTACTAAGTGCCTGTCCAGTGCAAAAGAAAATCTTGTTTCTGCCTCCATATGTTCATCTGTAAATATCAGATCCCATCAATATCCTATTATAGTAACTGACTCTCAGGAGTGTGACCCTCAGGAAAAGAAACAGTAAGATTGAGAAATAATCTCAATCCTTTTCAGAGATTCATAATACAAATTATAAATATTCTGAGAAGTTATCTAGTAAAGAAATCTCTTTAACTCAGTTGAACTCGCATTTACAAATCATATTTGATATCAGAATCCTTTTTTTATGAGGTTCTGATGCTTTTTAGAACAACTAATTGGTAGAGCACAGGCTGGAAAATGCTACTTGGAAAGATGGTCATGATCTCTTGGATCTAGCATCTGAAGAAAAATTAAAAAGCATTCCTAACTGTTTCCTAATATATTTAAAATACACCAGAAGAAGACCACAGAACTGAAATTTGAATGTAAATGTAGTTCATCTTCTAGATTAAAACTAACTTACCTGCATTGAAATAAGAATGAAATCAATTAGGCTCCCAATTCCACAAAACCCTACAGTGCAAAACTTTAACAAACCTAGAAAAGAAAGTAAAATCATTTACAACTTGGAAAGTCTTATAAACAGTAACAAACTTTTCCGTTTCCCAATAAACCATTACATACACCGCAAACTCTTTATAACAAGAATATAAAATTAACACTTAAAAAAATCAAATCTTCACTTGAAAATATGAGAAAAATTTAAAGGTTTCTCTATATAGAAAAGCCACAATAACATTTATTAACTCACTTAACAAATAAATATTAGAAACTGAAATAAAAAATTCAATGTAATCTTACAGAATTACTTAAAAGGCCAAAGAAAATAAATCTTTAAATTTCAGTACACCAGAGTTACAGAGTATCTTTTAGCCCTAAAAATCCTTATTTATTTATTACTTAAGAAATTATGTGATTTAAATTTTAATACACATTTACCGCAGAAAGTCCAAATATTGTCAAGAAACAGAAAAAATAATCAGGAAAAAACATTGATCTTATAAACTGCAAAATTTTATTAGTAACCCAATTATCCTGAATTTATCTTATACTTTTTTTTCCTAAGTATCTCATGTTTATTAGCTCTGTAGTCAAAATAACAATTTTGTACATCTCTGGTTTTGGTCTCAACCTCAGAGGTAAGGTATGAAAATAGATGATAATAGAGCACAGAACCTAGGACATATACAACGATATAACCCCCAAACATGATGAAATTAGAAGAGGCAGACTTGGGGTGGGGGTGAGATGAGTAATCTTTCTTCTATATTTAAACTTGAGTTGCTTTCTAGACGTCTCATTTGAGATATGAAAGTGGTAAGACTCTTCGTGAAAGGGTAGTTCTAAGCATCAACTACAAATAGATGCCAGCTAAGATCACAAGAGTGGATGACATCACATTCTGCACACAATTTGGAAATACACAAATGAAACGGAAATACGTAGGTATATTAGATGATTTTCTCCCTTCTTAGTATTACATATAGCAGAATAATGTTGTAAGTACTGGGATAATACATGTTAGATGTTTTAAAAACTATTTAAATATAGAGATCATATAAAATTATGCTTTTAGTTTTCTTCAAATCACTTATTTACTTATCTAACATTTTATATATGTTTACTGTCTCATGGAAGCCCCATCAGGGAAGGGTTTTTTGTCTGTTCTATTTATTCCTGTGTCCTTAGTACCTACATTGCCTAGCACATGGTAGATGCTCAATATTTGTTGAATGAGTGAACAAATTTTCTCAGCTTTTCTGTTTCTTAAAAACTTAGTTGTAGATAGGCCTTTTTATCCATTCATTACCTTATCAACTCCTTTATTTTTTTCATCAGTTACATTTTATTACAGTTGCCCAAGGAACTTCATTCATTCAGTATAATACCCATTTGCTCACTCAATTGTATTTATGAAATGCATCCCTTTCACATAGCATTTTAGTATAAATTTAGAAATATCACTGTTCCCTTCCTTCAATTTGTTTATAAAAAGAATATAAAGAATGGTCCAAAAAAAAAGTTTGTCTTTCAGTAACTGCTACTCTACAAATACAACCACGTTGGAGCTTTTGCCCTTGGCATGCTCTCTTTCAAAGGATGCCTTCCTGTAGTTCTTCTCATCTCTCAGGCTACTTCTTCAGAGAAGTCTTCCCAACCTGCCTGTCTAAAGCAACATGCCACTCCCCCCACATCTCCCTTATTTATTTCCTTCATGGTGCTGATTTGAAATCTATAAGGGCTTCATTCATTGGTTTGCTCATTCATTCTCTGTCTTCTACTGCCACATAAATTCCTAAAGACAAGGTCTTTATTTGTCTCATTCAAGTCGCTTCCTTGATCAGTACTGACATACAGTAAGAGTCTGATAAATATTTGTTGTATGACTATCAAAAAACTAGAAACAATTTGAATGTCTAACAGGGAAGAATTGTCTAAAAAAATTCAGGTACATCTAACAATAGGAAAGAGTACTATTTGTTGTCAAAATAATGTGGTAACATTCTAAACAGAGAAAGATAATCAGTTCATTAAAATCAAGATATTCTGCTGCTGATCCTCTTCTTAAGAGTGCTTCAGAAAAATGAACACGACAGGTTCCTGTTCAGATAAAATATCAGATAAGGGAATGATAGGTGTATTTGGAACTTTGGTAAATGTTACCTACTCCTGGAGTAACACATTTAAAGAAATTAGAGGGCATATCCAAGATGATATTTAAGCATTTAGGGAATCTGCAAAGAAAGTAGATGAGTGGTTTGCCTGGGAAAGAGCAGGACAAGAAGGGCCAAAAGGGAGGGATTACAAATGAACATGAGGAAACTTTTGGGAGTGATGGATATGGTCATTATCTTGATTACAGTGATTGTTTCACAACTGTATACATATGACTAATTTATCAAACTGCACACTTTAAGTATATGCACTTTAATGTATGTCATTTATACCTCAATAAAGCTGTTTTAAAAAATTTAAAGAACTAAGTTGACTGTTTAAAAAAAACTTGAAAGTTTAAAATCATTACATCTCACTCCAAACATATAATATTAACTACGGGCCATCTATATCTACAAATTTAAGATAGGAAGTACACTGAGGATTGAAACAGCTGAGACAAAGTAAAAACTTAGAACAGGATATGGCACATAGTAAGCATTTGATAAATGTCAGCCCAGCTGCTACTTGTGCTACCAGTATTTCTACTATTACTACAATTATTATTATAATCAAGAAATTTAAACAACATAAACTCACATTCTTTATAGTAGCATCATCTAACCTAGTCTCATTTCATGCAAATTCTTTCTGCCTGTGTTACAGCCAAATAAACTACCCAAAGTTCTCTTAATGTGTCCAGCTCTCAAATCTCCTTCATCTGTCTCTGCATTTATGTGTGCTACACTGTTTTCTGCCTTGCCTTCTCCCCTGCCCCTCACTATTCCTGATCACCTACCTAACCTGTAATAGTCTTCTAAAACTTCTGGGAAGTTTTCTCTAATACTCCCAGGATGAATTGAATACCATTCCTAGATGTTCCTTAACACTTTTCCCTTAACTTTCAGCATAGCACATATCCCCAGTATGAGTTTTTATATATATCTTTGTCTGTCTTGCTTATCTTTTAGCGAGCAACATGAAGTTAGGGCTGTGTCATTCCCATGCCTAGTCAATATGACTACTGAAGGAACAAACTTATCAATAGTAAATAAACACTGACCAACTTAAACAAAAAGTAGCATACATTCTAAACAACACTTATTAACATCAATACAAACCGTTACTCTTAGATTTCAATTTGACCATTATTACCAGTTTTTTATAAAAGATAGGATATTTGTAAACTACAAAGAGTAGACTGACTTCTTTTTGTCCAAATAAAAAACTGTTGGCTTTCTTTGTATGATATCATCTTTAGTTTATAAAAATTGTTTTAAAATTCCAATTAAAAGTCTTTCTAATCAAGAAGAATCCATTTTTCCTGAACCTTTACTATTG